TTAGTAGGGTCGAGCCTTAAAGATGATATTATGACCATGTTTGTTTATGTGCATTCATCGAAAATTTGAACTTCCTGTCATCTGTATAACAACGATCTGTAGTTTTGATTTGATAGCTTGCTTTGTCAGACCTTCGAAATACATCATATTATCTTCGGTCCAATATAGCATATTATCCGATTCATTTTCGCAGTCGATTTACATCTTGTAAAATCGATACCAGGGTCTTGTGAATAGGCGGGCATGTCGCATGGCTGTATTGGAACCTGAAGCCCCTCTAAAATTAAAAAAAAAAAAGGTGCAAGTAAATTTTAAACATGCGTCCCTAAACTTGCGCCCCAAACTTCGTATAATTTACACTTTATATACAGTTCGAACGACCTTAGATCCTAAAAACATGTTTGCTCATTGTCAAACGGGTCTTCACCTCTCAGTTCATGCGCAACTTCTATATGCGGGACAATGAGGACCAACTTTGAATACATTATTACAATTTATTTTAAAGCTCTTCGAGAGAAGTCACCGATGGCTTGCTAAAATAAATAATTATCTTTATTTGCCTTGAATTGATCGAAACTCCTGAAACTTTAAGGGTGTCCCTTTCCGTTTCCCAAGAAAATCTTCAAGCAGATCAAACGTCCCTCCTATATTCTTCAAATACCTATGATATTGAAATAAGTAAATAAAAATATCATAGGTTCGTAATTAAGAAGTTGATGGATGGTTACGTGGGAAAAATAAAAGCGGGAAAATGTTGCGGAATAAAAGCATACGAAGATTCGTAGATTCATTATGAACTAGCATGATTATTCTCGGCATAGCGCTCCAAAAAAGGCTAAAACTTACGGTGAACTCTTAAATAAGGATAACGTTAATTAGGTGCAATATACAAATATAATAGCTAAAATTCAATCAGAGTAGAAGTTTAGAACAATAGAGTTAGACAATGGGGTAGAAATGCTGGGTTTTGGAGCCGTGCTAATCGCTCCCCAGCCTCCGATCCAGCGCCTATTTAATTCGACCGATCTGAAGAAAATAATATTACATTCGTCGCATTAGGAAGTAAACATTTCCCGAAAGAACACTGCAAATTAAACGATTTACGTGATTTCCTCATGGAATAAGTTAGCGACCTCCAGCGACTAGATTCGTATACCAGAAGAATCCGTTGATATCTGTCTACCTGGTGCACTACGCCGTCGAAACGACTGTAGTGACATACGGCATTCAAAAATTAGAGTCCCATATATATATATATATATATATATATATATATATAGGGTCTTCTGAAACATGTAACTGGATTGGACCTTTCTTTTGTAACAGTACAGTAACTAGTGTCAATTTTTTTTTATACCGTAATAGGCACCAGTCGTCAGCTTTATTGTTAATAAATATGTGCAGCCTTGGCATCTATTTCTTGTTTCGAAATAAATTGCGAAAGACAATTACATTTACCCGATAAAAGGCTGTGAAGGCAAAAACCTCTGTCAGCCTTAGGTTGGCAGCAATCCGTGAACAATGGTGAGAGAAGTTAAATATGTATGAACAGGTAGTATATAGCTTTTTTTTTTTCCCAGTTAGTATATATAAAGATTCATATTATTGAATGGTCTTCGAAGTTGTATGCGATTTGGTCGAGTTCATACACGTTTAGGAGTATATATATATATATATATATAAGATCAGCTTGGTATGTTATTCTTAAGTACTTATAAATATTAATGTTTTCCTATATACGGACGACCGCAAAGAAGATAAATGATGCAATAGAGTAGCGTGGTCGTAAATGGCTTCTCGTACGTGGATTATTATTTAAATATATTGCAATAACCTGTTTTATCATGCATCTAGTGAATATAGTGAGTTTTTTTTCCAGCCGGCACACTATTATCGTAACGTATATCTTGACGAAAACCTTTGAAGCAGATGGATTGGACGAGAAGATCCTATAAAGCACCCCGGCCGTTCCTTACGTCTATCGCTAATGGACCTCTTCTTGTGAAGATACCTAAAAAATAAGCTCTGCAAGAGAAAACCGACGACACTGGAAAATTTAAAAATCACAACCGAGTTCGTGTATTCATAGCGCACCGTCATCAGCAGTGCATTAACCAGAACTATTTTGGACAACTGCTGAACACCACATCATATATATGTATATATAGATACATATTATCGCAATAATGCACACACAGTTTGACTAATTATTACTTCAGTTTCTATTTACATATAATTAATCTTGAAATTGCAAAAAAATCTACATAAAACATCTGGCCTTCTATTGCAGATGTCCAGAACGATTGCCATCCTTGTCTATACCCTGCTGATAACGGTGATTCACGAGCTTTCAAGTTCTTCAATTTCTAGCTTCGTCTTTAAGGTATCTCCGTACCAGAAGAGATCCGTTGAGGTAAGGCCCGGGGTAACGGGCAAAATCGTTAGTGAGATTTCTCCATCTGTCTAGCCAATTCTCCTTAAGATATGCTTTTACGATGATATGCATAGGTGTGTCATTCCGTTGGAAATGGAGTTAAAGCCTTCAGCCGGGCCCTTCCGAGCCCAACAGTTAAAACTATTCTAGTGAATCCAACCAATCGGCCCCAGTCACAGTATCGTCGAAAAACAAGCTTAAAATGATTCTTATAGAAAACTCAGCATATATAGGATAACTTAAAAATACTGATAAGTTTAGGCTAAAATAGAGGCAAATATCTTTTGTATTTTAAAACGCTATTAGTAAATTGAACGCGCGCTGTTTTAGCCGATGATCCCCTGCCATTGTTTTGGAAACACCATGGTCCCACTGGTGTAGAGTTTTTATGGTTTTCGCTCGAAAAATTGTAACAAGTGATCTTTGCATCCCTCTATTGAAACTAAACTATCACCATTAAGGGAGTCTTGCACTGATCGAAGTAGATAACAATCGTGAGATTCAAAATTCGAATTGAATGGAAGATGCATCCAAATTGCCCATCTAAGCTTTCTCGACTTTTTTCGAATAGATAACAAAGTCTGTGGTTTGATAGAAGCTGGCGTTTCCTCCTAATCACTCGTCGTTTCGTTATCTGGCAGCAGCCTATAATGCACGATTTCTTTTCAGTTCCGCCTAACGTGTAGCATCTTATTTTTCACCAATCCGAGCTGTGTCACAAATTATAGAGACTCTAATCATTACCATTGTTTCTACACATGATTATCTACTTTTCATCGATTTAGAGATGGCTCAACTTCGTTATTATACAGTAGAATATTTTCTCAGAAAAATTATTTTGTCTTAATTAGTGTAGATCCAAATGTGAAGTTTTTTTTTTCAATCTGTTTTCGCCAATCTGAAACCGTTTAGTGTTAGATTAATGATTACCATATTAGAAAATTGCTCGTCATTACACTTTTTGGCAATGTCGAGGCTCTTCACGTGTCGATCTCGCTCAGTTATTGCAACAATTTGGTCAACTTTTGTCATAATATGTTGAAAGATGCTTCGTATGGTGGAAAACAAGAAAGATCGAAAGAAAGAACGAAGGCGACAGGACAGTTTTTGGAGCGTTCCCTCCGATAACGGCTTTTGGCCATTTTTTTTATGAGCCTGGGTAACGTTTGTGCCCTTATCGTAATAAAATTATTGGATATTTGCAAATTTTTTTTTTTCATTTCCAAATCGCGAGGCCGAACAAAGGCATTCCAACGATTTTAGCTCATCTAACACTGTCAAATTTCTTCAAAAACTCTCCAGTGACATCAACGCTTATATATATATGTGACGCGACTCGCATTACCTGAAGTGTGTTGTTTTAAAGCCATGTGGCTAGAAAAATTATTAATACTTATTCACATATATATATATATATATATATATACCAGACAGTCCTGCTCTGCTAGCGAAACTCTGCAGTTAGCTTTGCGTAGCAAGCGGACATTTGTACCCCTCCGTATTCTCTGTCACCATCACGAATCTGTCCGCAATGACGTGCGAACGACACGTATCTGTAATCGTCGGCAGGATTTGCACAATGTTTTCATCAATGCTGGGGATTTACATAATGGTAATATTGTTTGCATGAGAACGTTAATGGGATTGAGCTAACTTCGACTGATTGCAGAACAACTTTTGCTGGGGTGGCAGCGTGTTCCTTCTCGACGTCGCCCCCGACGTCCTCAATCTATGAAAGTGGAAATTTGAAAATTAGAACTGGGTAAACGCTCATTTAAAATTTTAGGGAAACATATGCCACACCAGTTAAATCGAACGACTATGTGGGGCTGTAACAGTATCGCAGCGTTTTATCCTCCCTCTGTACTATGGAAATATATCAGACACGTTAAAGCGACATTGCATTCTGAATCGAAGAGTGAATTGGGTAACATTTGCGTCAGCAGTAGTGGGAGACGCATGCAGTTCTTCGATGGTACATTACAGCAGCTTAGGCATCCATAAATGAAAAGTATAGGTACAGCGGAACGTTTTTGAAAGCATAAGCCTTTAGTAGTTGGTCAGCTATTGCCAAAAGCCTGTCGGAACTCAGCGTTTACCTAGTGGCTGCAAAGTTCGTAACACGTAAGCGGTTTCATATTTTTTATAGAAAATATATATTTACATAGAAGATATTATATATATATATATATATATATATATATATATCATGTTTTTTCGATACTCTAGTGTTGTTCGTTATCCTAACACGATGTGATATGAAAGTTTGCTCTTCCTTTAAGGTCATTGTTTGCTTGTGCCGATTAGCAATTTATTTACTACTCGTCAACATCTGTATGCCTACGTAGTATCTACCACTAGTATCCAGTAGAAATTAACGTCTTGAACATTCAGTCAGTAACGGACCGGTTTATTTCGAAAGCAGCCATGCGACCCATTAGCCGCCCCAGTGACTAACCGAGCGGTGAATCCCCCCGAACGTTCTCGGTGTTTGAGGTTACCTCATCGGCCGTGGCCTGAGTAGCCTATTGCTGGCTAATAAAATGCCCTTTTACCTTTATTGCAACATATCGTCATAAAAGCGATGCATCCAAACCTCAGTCTCGTAACCACTCATGAATGTTCGTACGCATACTACGTTTGCTTGGTGCGGTCTGGACGAGAGGAAATCTGGGACGATGAACGGGCTAGCAAGGAAAGACACAGACAATACTGATTACCGGCCAGCGCAAAACGAAAAGAAATTGTCGCCACAGAACGATAACGAAGGTGGCGGACCTTCATTGGCAGCGGAAGTTTGTGCTGTATCAAAAAAATTGCAGATGATCTGGCGACCTTTGTCAAGAAAACAGCGCCGTCTAGTGTATATGTGATTAAGTCTTCTAAATACAACACAGTATCGAATATGAAGATCGGTATGGTCCTTTGAGCATCCGTAAGAGTGTGTGGAAGTTGAATACTTAATCATTAGGAAGCGCCCTTTGTTGCTTAATAATGACTTTTTCGTATTAGGATGAGCACTGATTCCCTCAATTATATGAATATATTACTGCTAATAATTGTTTCCAGAGCAGAATAAATTAGCTTTCGCCGAAGTTAGCCTATAATGATATACGGACACTAATGGAAATCATTGATTAACGTGTAGTTTGCAAAATTTACCAATGTAAAGGACGGGATATCTGTGTGTATCTGCGTCTAGCTTCCGCACTTCGACGAACCCGAAAGAGCCGCATGTTGATTATTATTATTTCCTTTTTGAAGTGGCCTTTAGCGACGTACAGCCGTCAATCCATCCCTGCGCTCTGTCTTGCCCGACAACGAACATTGAGAATGTCACCCGTTGGAAGCTCATGTATTTAAGCTTTGCCTGGGTCTGAATCGACCGCAGCATTATCGAGCGATTGCGGTTAAATGAACATGACGGCGTCTCAGGGGGGCACCGGGTTAACGTCCCCGGGACTTCGGCGCAAAAACCTTCGCTCTTTTTTCAAGGCCAGGCCGAAAAAAAAAGTCGTTGCCAGCACAGTTACAACATTAGTTTGTGACCCGCGGTCCGTTCATTTTCATTCTCTTTCATTTACCCTACCGCAGCCTGGATTTGTTGATGTCGAAGGCACACTCTTGTCTCCTCGGTGCCTCTAACCCCACTTCTTCCATTGATGGGAATTGGGTTCACCCCATCAGTTAGAAGGTATGGACATTATTGAGTAGTGTATGGGTAGTGCACTGTTCATTCGATGTGTCAGACATCCGTGCGTCCCTCGACTGGGCGTTTCGACAACTCCGAACATCGACTAGACACCATAGACAACGTGAGGCGTTTCTGCGAGAACTGGCAGAGCTGGTATCCGGTCGTGCAACCACGAAAGACGCATTCATCTGCTTAGGTTTCTGAACAGTGTACGAGGTAAGGCCGTTTATCGATAAACGTTCGTTCGATAGCGGGGTGAATGCAGTGTGAGCACTGCGGATTACTGGAGCTTCGGTGTCTGAGTCCTGATCAACGTCAGCATTCAACAAGATCTTCCACACAGAGATAACCACAGAGTGCAGAGCGAAGAAGTGTGTATACGTCTGCGTGTGTGCGCGCGCGTGTTTAAAAAGCGAACCGACAGCCTCAGAAATGGTACCGTTAAAGATTCGTCGAAGCTATGTGATGGGGTCCACGACGGATGGACTGCATACGAATGCGGCGACTCGGGGAAAGCAGGAATCGTTCTTCTCATAACGAAAAAACAACGGTCTAGGACTAGAGAACGAAAATCAAACCGATATCAGAACGCCAATATTCATCATCGATACGTTTGTTCGAGGTTGTCGGACGTAGGTTGTGTGTGCTCTAACCGGTAGAACGAACCCGTTTTGCCACCATTCTTCCTCGATCTAGACCGGCGGCATCGCGCTCGTGTTCCCCTCCTAGCCGGATGCTTTGTTGTTCGCTAGTATGACTAGGCAGGCACCCAAGCAACGGAAGAAAAATGGACATCAACGGAGACAATGCCAGAGGGCTAAAACGTACGACGTCTAGTAGAATGGGTAAGATACTTCCAATTTTTAGACACAATAGCATGCTGATAGACCGTGGGCAATTAACACGTGTATAACACTTATACACGTAAAACTCGTGAGCAAAAGGGTATTCACAAGTTTTGCGTGTTTACTCAAAAAAAACAACAGGAGAGGAATAATATTTCAGTTTACATATTTGAAAAGAATCTAGAATACAGCGTACCTTTTCGAGCGACTTTTACGGCTACTAAATGAAGAGTACGTCGATTATAGCAATATTACAAAACCTGAAAATTCTTGTAGAGATATTCATTGTGGTTGCCACAATCTTGTCGAACTTACCGAATCGAATACCTATATCTTTTATGCGATATTATAAAAAAACAAAAAAAATTAGAACGGTACGCTTTGAGTCTAGTTAGTTAGCCTTTCATAAAGGGCATTATTCTATTGGAGATTGTATTCCATAGGCCACCGCCATTGATTGTCCAATGCCGCATCTTTTGCAGGTGAAAGCAAGGTGCAGTGAGTGGGCCCCTTCGTGACCCGGTGGAATCCGCCTTTATCTATTTTTGCCTGTCAATGAATAGTAAGCCTGCACGTAAGTTTCCTTTGCCTTGCCCACTTGTTTCTCGCTGTAGTCGGAGAGGTAGGACGCAGCCACTGATTTTCTTGAACTTGCTTGCAAACTTAAATAGATCATGAAAAATGGCCATTAGTCAATCATGAAGGCCAGGGGGCAATACATAGATGAGTGGTGTGCATTCAAGCGATGATGATTGAGTAATGAGTACTTCAATGACTTCAATCGGTAGTAGTCTAGTGCAAAGTGGCGTGTTTGTAATTTAGTGAAACCGGGTATTCATTCTTTATATAATTATTATGTAATAAATGTCAGTCGCTGCTTTTTTTTCCATATTATATATACTACACGATAAGTATGATCAAATAAAAGTAATTTTGACAAACATTTTTTATATACGTTATTCTTACATCGAGTTCTCTCGAAAATTACTTGTATAGAGATCTCGCATCGATGGACTGTATTGTACACTTTGACTGTTTTTCGTTGACGGATGAGCCAGAAGCAAGTATCAGGTTGGTGTTTATTGGGATTTCAAGACGAGAGCCACCGAATCAATTAGAAAAAGTGGACGTCGGATTTCTTCAAAGTTGATAGTTAACTCTGAAGAAATCCGACGTCCACTTTTTTTAGTATACGTTTCGTTTTAACGTTAAAAACGACAAAGTAGTATTTCACTTACTATGGGACAATTCAAAGTGTGAATCAGCCCATATATTTCGGATAGTTGTGGCAAAGCATGGGCGTAAGCCAACCGGTTTTTTAGGTCGGTTCAATCGTAAAGACAGTCATTTCGACCATCTTGGTCTAAACGATAAAGATCATGTAGTTTAGCAAAGACGAATCTGTTAGCTAAGTCTGATAAATCGGTTAATTTTATTTATTTTAAGTTGGTTTTAAGTTATTCAAATATGAGGAACTAACATGAGTTTAACGTTTACAGATATATTGTTCCCATTCCACGATTATAAAGCTTATTAAGACTTGTTAAAATCCTTATACCTATGTGATTCTAAAAAAGTCAAGGTACCGCTTCTTTTCTGGTCAAGTTATCCACAATTACACGGGTTAGAAAGTTCATTAAAAAATGACCGATTGATCGAACAATCTCTTTCAAAGTGTATATACCACGTATCGTGTACACCTATTTTTGAGCTGTGCTTGAGGACAATGTAAAGGCTATTTAGCGTCTCCCTATAGTTTTTTCTGACAGCGATGTATTCTGGGCAGGTTAAAATTCAGAGGAAAGGATTTTTGCACTCGACTTTTCCGAAAAAGTTTTGAAGACCCGCATTAATCACGTTTCTTCACTGTTTTCTTTCTACTGGGGTTAGGCCCATTATAGTTTACATTTCTTAGCTTACCGTAGCCATATTTCGCCTATGTATCTAATTTCTTTGAAATTCAATATAAACATCATGTTTGTTGAAATATGTATATTTTTGTCCAATTATTTTAGTATTGTTTAATCTTGTTCAATAACAACAGTGATAGAGTTCATATTTTTAGTCATTTACTTGAGGATTTAAAAGGCTGATTCATGACATATAAGCCTTATAAGATTTTTACTTCAACTATTGTTATATAGAGAAGTCAAAAATATATTTTCAATAGGCCCTTAAAAATCGAGTTTATAGAAAAACAATTTAAGTCTGCCTGACTGGCGGTTTCCGCGTGTTCTGCCTATAGCGGAAGAGAGCCCTTTAAAGTACCGTTTTTATCGCTGAAAAATACGTATATGTGCGAAGGTCGTGGGTATAAAAACCAACTATTCGGCCAATTGCGGTTGTGCAGAATACTTATAAACGTAAGTGGCTATTTATGGTTAATAAATTTTGCTTTCGATACGTTGGTTTCTTTCCGTGACTCGACTGCAAGTTGACAGGAGTCCAATTGGGGGTAGTGGACGAATTTGTGATATACAGCAAAAGACTCTTCCTCTCTGCACACCTCGTTATTCATACTCCATAAATTTTAGTCCGGCACCCATTCTCCAGATATTTACGCACAGCCGCTTGCTGCTCTTGCAGGAAAGACCCGAGTTTTACTACTAGGAACTACTAGTTAGTTTCGCTGGAATACGAAAGATTATGAACTCCGTTAGTGTAAGCACCGTCTACCGTACAGTCCCGTTACCAATCATCGTTATCGATACATTTGTGTACCCTTTGCAATGGGGTAGTTATGGTTAATTTTCAGAGGCCGTGCATTTGCTACCGCCGTTAGTAGGTTGATTGAAAGCGTGTGGCTCTGTGTTGGTAGCGATGCGGCATAATTCGGGATTTTTTTGGTTCGAGCAGTTTACACGAGGAAGCATCCTCATTTCCCAAGTCTGTTAGTCTCACGCCCTTCAAGGCGTAGACAGGGACGCTTTTCCAAAAAACAACAGGCGCTCTTGTCGAATATGAACCGTCTTTATGAAATACACGATCTACGAGTACTTGCACCCAGCGTTTTTACGTCGTGGTTCCTTGAAATCCTGCACTTTCGTTGACAAATCGATGTTTCATGGAGACTGCGCGTAATGCAGCTGGCCCTCTCCTGCTCGGTAATTTTATCACTTTCTTCGCGCGACAGAAGACATACGATCTTATTTTTCTATCCTTAGAAAATGTGTTTGGTAACATTTTTCGAACGGGGAAACTAACTAGACGAGTCTGCTTCAATGTTTTACTCGTTGTTGAGGTCGACACTTGCACCGCATCACTGAATCACCCGAGCTGTCGTTAGCTAAATATCCGTGAATTTGTTACCGTTGACAACCGCAATATTATGATTGTAAATTTAGCCGAACTGACTTGAGGTAAGGTTATTCAAGTAAAAAAAAAAGCCGTAAAAAACACGATAAGCATAAATTTGTTGAAACAAGTCGGACGATTCGAAATAAATTGTACTGATATGACCTTACTATCTTAATATGCTAAGGCGACGGGCAGCTTTGTATGTGCACGCCTTTTTAAAGGCAGACATGGACGCCCCGAACCAAACTATTGATGTACAAAAGTAACATTTTAGAAACACACAATTGTTTCAATTGGTTGGAAACTAAAAACTTCTTTAAATCATACAGGCAATTTTGTCAATAAAAAATCTCCGAAAATTTGAAGGAAAACGATGTACCGCCGGTCAGTAAACGTAAGCTTTCAGCACATATTTGTTCACTGCCTAATACGATTTTTCCGTCGTTAATAGTCGCACACGCGAAGCAAACCTTGTAAAAAAGGTAACAGGAACAATTACAAATAACGTAACTTGTGCGTATCTTAATTGTGACGAAATTATAGTATTATCTATTTACAAAACTTCATAAAGTTGAGCTGATTAGAGAATTTCGTATTTCAAGGTCAGAGCTAATAGCCTGAGCAGACATCAGAGTTTGAGTTCCGCTCACTTTGGGTCACCATGTAAACGTACGAAGAAATCGCAGATTTTAAATGAAAACTAGCGAAAATCACGTACAAACGAAATCGTCGCAAACATGAATCGTTTTTTGGAAAGCGTGCGTGCTAAGTTTAGAATTGCTAACCCCACAACCTGATGGTACTAATGTAGAATACAGATCTTGTATAAACAGCTGGATATTGAATGCACGAAAACTACGTTGTAAACCGTCCGATGCAAATAGGACGTGCTTTTGGAAGAACTAATTTTTAGAGATTTTCACTCTTTTGTGTTTCCATTAACTTGCAGCTTTTTAAGAAAAATTGCGCCTCTGTTTCTTTTTTCAGTATGTTGATGTCGGTTGTTCGTAAGAAAGTCGTTTGCCAGATACAGAAATATCTGTAATCGTCTTAATTCAGGAGACAAAAGAGATTTTGAGAGAGGCTGCTTGTTGCTTAACAAACAACGAGAAGAAAACTAATTTTATTGAAAATATTTTATGGGAGAGTACAATAGACACACAATTTTGCACAAAGACGATTATGTAATTTTGGTGTCTGTAATTGTTGATAATAATTTGAGTGAAAGTAACTAACCTGCTCACGTAATCCGTTGCTACGGTTTATCTGCGGCTGACTTTTTTTTTCAACTCAGGAAATGAAAAAGACAGTTTTGATGTAATCATGTTGGAAGTGAAGCTAAACTGCTAGCAGCTTCTTCGACGATCGCCTACAAGCATTGATTCTTGATAGCGCCTACTTTCTGACTATAAACCTACTCTCTAGATGATCTCTATTTTTGTTGTGACCCTTTCTCCAGTGTCGGAATAAAACACGAGAAAAGCCGTCGCAACGGTACCCTTGTATTGCTTACGTTGCATAGGAGTATCGCATATTGGTGGACCGGAGACACTTTTAAACAAATGTCGAGATTATTGCACGCTTGAGACTTCAATCCGAGAGCAGTTAAGCAGTTTCAGATTGAATGGCCTATCTATATAACATGATTCTGGTCCATCCGAGTCTGTTAAGTCTGCTAACCATCTCTTGCGGTCGAGCGAAACAATAAGCTTCAACCCGCGTTTACCAAAGACCACAACGAGTTCTTGGGGCACGTTATGTAAAACGTACGAGGTCAGTGATACAGTCACTTTCTTACTAATCAGCCAGTTATGATGCTTCCTATTTTAAACGATTGGGTTGGGATAAAACGTTAACCCTTAATCACATCATTTTATATTTTTGTTATTTAGTATGAGATTTTTGGAAGCACGCTTGGTCGTTCTAAATTTCTCCAAGAATTAGCGCGATTACGAAAACCAACAACTCAGAAAATTTACCGATAGTGATTCCTCTAATCAAGTGCATAGCTGGCTACACCTATAAAATCTGACACTCTGAAAAGACGAGTCATTATTGTCTAGTCTACCCGTTAATCTTAATTTCTGAATACCTGAAAAAGCTTAGGTATCTGTGATTCCTATGTAATATCCCACCCAGATCCAGCTTTCACAAGGTCTTTAGCTCTCCGATTTTAGTAACGCAATGCTAGGAGCTTCCAACGTCAGAATCTCCGACAATATTGTATCTGCATAACTCATGGAGGGTTTCTGATTTTTAAATGTTTCTACCCATTTATTCCTTATTTTATACCCATTTTTTATTATTATTATTTATTATTACCCTGCGAGATATTCGTTTTTCATCTCAGCGTCAAGGGTTAAGTTTTCGTGACTGCTTCATTACCCGTTACAGCATGCGTTCTGTTGCTAGTTTTCACTGCCTTTTGAATGCCTTTTATCTCTTTGTCCACGTTTGTGCTAGAAACTTTGCAGCTCAAAAGGCTTAGGCAGAAAGTCTGCTCTGCTCAACTGAAGCTTTGTCGGGCAGAAATAAACAAAGAAAATGGACCGTCTGCTTCCCTTACAAAAAAAAGGATCAGAATGAGGAAAAGACAGCAAGTCACCAAGTCTCCACATATGAACAGATACAATGCCGCAAAAAAGTACGGGAAATAGAAACCGATGGGAAGAGGTTCGATACAAGCAAAACATTTTCATAGTGCTGGCTTGCCTGCCTACAGGCTCTTTTCTTGCTTTGTGTAATTCGTGCAGTAGGCCTCCCAATACTAACTAGACCACCTACTAGACCTACGCAACCTACTTATGCTATCTCAGTGGTTTCTTTTACTCTTCTATTTAAAAAAAAACTTGCATTGCAAATTAGATTCCGTCATGGGTCGAGGGTCTGTGTTTTCCTGTTTAGTGTATTTAAGCCACTCACGCACCATCCATAGGGGGTACTTTGTGCTACTGACTTTGCCTCGGCCTTCGACTTCCTAAAGGAGTACGTTAAAGTCTATATAGACGGAAGGTAATCTACACGCGCTACTATAGGCTTTCCGAACATACTGTTTCGGTTTTTCGCTTGTACATGGTAAAGATGTGAAGAACAAGCCGACGGCGATGGATTGCTACCCCTCAAGCCGTGCGAATCGATGCAGCCAACGAAATGTCAGACGACAGAAAGCAGACTAGCAGCTTCACCGGCGACGTCCACGGATCAGCAAGGTACATAGCTAAAAAGGATACATCGCTGCGGCTGTGGGTGTTTTACATGGGGGGAATACACAATGGGGGAAAACGCAGAGGAAAGCGAACAAAAAATAAACGATTGTGAAACTTTAATATATATTATATAAGGAGTCGTCGAAGAATAAGGTTTAAGTGGCAAAAAACGTCCAGAATTATGACATGAAACTAATTCATAATTATTGTAATAACAACCATCAGCATCGACATCGTTTTTATAGTCCTTGTAATACAAGGTTGAACGGCTAAATCTCTGGTTTTCCAAACCGCAGGCCACTGATTCGAGTCCCGTAACCTTGTACTTCATAGGCTTAATGTTAATTCGTAAAAAACATAATACGTCCATTTGACAATATTATATTTATTTGCACCAAGTGATCACTCAATAACTGTTTTATTTTTTTCTCCTATATGTATTCTCTAATACCTATAAAGGTAATTGGATATTTTTGAAGAAAAATGATTCGGTAGAAATTTTCTTAGTGAGATAAATCTATACGAAACAGTTGAGATTATCGTTCGCTTCCAATAGAAGTTATTAACAAGATTCACTGGGAGCAGGAGGATACATTTGATTACATTGCTAGTGAGATGCACGATCTTACCGTGACATAAGATATGGAAGAAACTAGATGATATTTTGCCAGTAAAATAAACTTTTTTACAATCAGCACGTACCGTCAAACTGTGTGCACGCGTTTCTGCACATAATGTACCGCAACATTCTTAAGGGAAAAATATCACAATGGATAACGTGTGCTACCTCTTCGCAGAAGGAGACACCTGTTTTCTTCTCATATACTTACTAACAACCTTTGAATCAGGATGAACTCCTGGAACCGCGGTTATCACTTCACAGTCCTCTGGCAAGTAAGCAAAGGTAAGGAATGAAACGAAGGAACGTTAGATAAAAGGACTAGCCAGTCTGTCTTTATCACCCGTTGCTTCTGGCCCATGCCAAAAGCCCACGTCCATCCATCAATTGTTCCTGTCCTTCTGTACTCACGTGTAAAGCGCTCCTTTGGCTAACATGATCGTTTCGCAAGTTCTCGTCCAAACTATTAGAGAACTGGCCATCCCCGGCGGTAGAGTGCGGCGTCGGGGTAGCGTCTCGCGATACCGGGTCGGTGGTTTGTTTGTGAACTTTTGGGCTACGATGCTTGTTTTAGTCGCGCCTGTATTTCTTCGGTGCTACTAACTGACCTCAGCAGCCGCTGCTCTTATCCCTCTGGCCTACGAACTTAAGCATACACCTCAGTAGTAGTAGTAGTAGTAGTAGTAGCGGTTACTGAGATCCGGACCGGCTGCATCTATCTCATTGGCTGCGTTCTACTTTCACCAGCGGCAAACGTAACGTTGGACTAGCTGCATGTACGCGTTAGGATAAACGACGTTCGGAACGTTCTTTGTACTACCACTTGTTTGAGCAGCACACGGAGATACTTCTTCTATCTTTATACAGTACGCACTGTGTATGTTTGTGTTTTCTGCGTACCTATGTATATGAGGTACTGTCATTTGTTTGTAAAATTGCATGTCCACGCAGTCGAAACTGGTGCTAATGGCTGATGTAGAGAGCTGGAATAACTAGATTAACTAAGTAGTCGTGACAGCCAAGTGGATAACATATTTGCCTGCTAATCTTAAGGACACATGGTGGTCTAAATCCGAACTGGGCCATAGACACAATTGGTTTCCTCGTGAGAGCCAGCCATCTGATAGAACGTCTAACGGCAATGCCGGACGTAATGCACGAAACATAGGTACTTCGACTAACGAACATATCGGCTATAGCTAGTATTGAAAATATGTCGCATAGATGAAATTAGTGGATACTTATATTTGCTTTACGCGAATTCAAGTATATGGGCTTGCTGTTTGAGAGATCCCTTTTCCACTGTCTGATACAATAGAACAATTGCACAATAAAGAATCACTCGAAGGCTAAATGCTGTAAAACAATACGTTTCTTTATTTACGTGGGCGTGAATATGATAAATTGACATCAGTTATAGAAAATATCTCGGAACAAAGGCTACTGTGTATTGTTACATCGTCCGAAGATGGAAATGTCATATTAAAAATTGCGCCGTGTTGTCGGCACAGAACTGTCTCGTAGTTCCTTTAGATGCATTATTTATACGGGTGAAACAATTCAAAAAGACGATAGTTGAATCACTCAACGAAGTATGACGGTGTGTCATGCCCACATCCGCAGCTACCGCAACAGCCTCAGGCCGCGTTATGCTAGTAATACCACACCATACGATACAATCCTCATAGGGAGTCACTAAAAAAAAACACGTCGACACTTTGTCATGTTTTATCAATGTCACCGAATTGTTTTTTTACAATTTCTACCTAACAATAACTAGTACTCGTGTGATCCACTAATTGACTACTGCAGATGGCAGTTATCTGTTAACATATGATTACCAATTGTTAAGATGCCAGATACTAATGCAATGCATGGACGAAAAATGCGAGGATCGGGAACATCCACACCTGAGCATATCATAGGTTACTTATCGCTTGCTTATTATAACTGTCCAAACTAATACGGTTTCTACACTGCACTCCTGATTATACACAAAATTATCTAGTTATTTATGGTCTGTAATGCATCTGCGATTGGCAGCCATCTATCGTTTGTCCAGTGTCCTTTGCCCCTGCATTTTCTTGCAGCCACTCCACGTTCGGCCTTCTACTTCACAATAGCATTAGCACCGCTTATCCTTGTGCTGGTTATATCATGCCATACTACAATTCATTCGATTGCTTTTTTTTTCGTTTTGGCTTCCAGCTTTTAGAACCTTTCGATGTAAACACTTTCTTGTCTGCCTCACCGCCTACTTGTCAGTGGCTTATGTTGCGATCTTCTTTCGAGTTCCTTCTTAGACTTATCAGCCAAAGAGATGGGCGACTAACGGGCCAGGACGTAGGCGCTAATCTTGAACAGCCCTGTTGAAGGCCTTGCAAGGTTCTTCAGTGGTAAGTAACCCCTTCGTTATGCTAATACCTACAGATCCTCTTCTTCTCCTTCTCGCCCGCTGCTATCATCCGGCTTTGTTCATAGTTTTCGCTGAGTTGGGCCTACTCTGGATCTAGAACTGCGTTATGACAATACTATCGTATTAACAATAATAAAAGGACCAATAGGACCAGCACGGCGAGCCAGTGGCAGAGTAAGATCGGCTAGAACCAAAATAAACGAAAACCAGATGTCAAACGTTGCTTCAACAGGTAGCCGGCATCCCGCTCGTTGCCTATAGTCCACTGCAGTCAGTTACTGTACCGTTGTTGGTTAGCCGGTTTCATAACGGATAAAAATCGCTTTTTTTTTGTTACAGGGCGATAGAAGGCAAAAGACAGAAATCTTTTCTTATAGGATCAATGTCCAGCCAACATCACTCCAGCCCTATACTGTAGGAAACACGGCTGTAGCACAGGATCACATCGGAAAACGCCGCAGCGATCAGACTGAACAAAGTGCATTTTTATTCGTGTGCTTCATCATGGGCCTTAAGTGAACAAGCCATATGGAAGAAATCACGCGTTATGAGTGAACAACATTTGTCTCACTTACACTCTTAACGAAACACGCTTAGCAGGCTTCCGGATCAATGAACGCATCAAAGGCTGTGTCTGCGTAGTGGATTAGCCTGCAGATGCCCTCACAGGACCACAGCAAATTGAAGCGTAACGCATGCCCTTGTTTTCTCTTGCCCTTAATGTTTACAGGGACTTTTTGCAGCAGCTGAGTTTCTTTCTTTTTCACAGAAAGACAGACACAGGCGAACAGTTGACAACAGGGAAGCGAATTATGCTAAAAGAAAGTGTTTGAATCTTTAAATGTAACAGATTGAAGCAGTTAACGGCCTTGTGCTAGGGCTACTATTGCTGTCGCCATTGCCGTTAAGAAATTCATCCGTAAAAGCATTCCCAGCGTTTGAGTGCTGTTCTAGACGTATACCTTCACAAGGGTGAACCGTGGTAAATAGGCCGTGCAGGGTTGCTCCGAAAGATGAAGCGGGCCAAGTTTGAGTGAGGCCAGAGGAATAACCTCTCGGATCGCTATATAAACAATAGTTTTCCACGTTGATCCAAGTAGTCTATCTACGTATCTAAAATTTTATTATAATATGATTTTTAGCCTTTTTTCGTACGACGCACGAATTTTGCTTTTTTAGGTATTACGCTGAATAAACCAACCATTGGAAGATGCGTGAATGATCCCTTTAAAAACAAACAACAGGTGACACAATCCAACGGAAATGTTGAGTTCTTCGATGTTATTTTTTGAGAACTTTTCCCTTCTAGAAATGCAGAACAAAAACTGGTGAGTACTTTTTTTTATTATAAAGATATCGATTTTTGTTTATCTAATAGGAAGTAACTACACTGTTACATTCTGAGCCTCTCGGAATAGTCAATTGCGAATATATATTATACGTACATATATAACATGCATGTTCATAACGGTCTCACTCACTTTAAAACATATGCAAAAACGTCGCAGGAATAAACAGACGAGCTCACAGCATGTTATTTTTTGTTCAGTGTAGAACGCAACCCAAGTCGCAGAAAAAAGGGCAAAAAATACTGATGACAGCTTGGAAATGTTATTTTTATGGCCTTATGATAAAAGCGGATCATTGCACAGAACGTATGGCAAGCCTCTTCATTAATAGTGTTAAACATTCAGTGACTAAAGACAAAGTAACCCTGGACAATAGCTGGTTAATTTGCGCGTCGATTTTCCAAGACGAAGAGTTTGTAATCATGGAAATAGTGAGAAATCAAACGCTAAGTGTTCTAAATGACGTTAAACCACTGGCAAGCCCATCACATAGCAGGATAGGTTCATACTAGGCTGGGCTGTCACAGTCAGTAAGAGCATCTGAAGGGAACTGCAGCTAGGCTTTACAATTCTATACAGAGACGGTAAGCCTCAGGGGTCGCACGGCCTGAAGTTAAGAGGGTCCGTTTCTTCGCTATCTGGTCAAGTCATTCTTCAGGCCTACTTTATGTCCAGGCTTTAAATTGTTG